CACCGTTCTCGTGAGTGAGGTTGAGTGAGTGATAGTGATAGTGTGATAGTGATAGTGTGTAAGTGTGATAGTGATATAGTGATAGTGTGATAGTGATAGTGTGTAAGTGTGATAGTGATATAGTGATAGTGTGATAGTGATAGTGTGTAAGTGTGATAGTGATATAGTGATAGTGTGATAGTGATAGTGTGATAGTGAGTGTGTTCACCGTTCTCGTGAGTGAGGTTGAGTGAGTAAGTGTGATAGTGATATAGTGATAGTGTGATAGTGTGTAAGTGTGATAGTGAGTGATTGATAGTGTGATTGATAGTGTGAGTGAGTGTGTTCACCGTTCTCGTGCGTGAGGTTGAGTGAGTGAGTGTGATAGTGATATAGTGATAGTGTGTAAGTGTGATAGTGATATAGTGATAGAGTGACCATGTGAGTGTGTTCACCGTTCTCGTGAGTGAGGTTGAGTGAGTGAGTGAGTGGGTGAGTGAGTGTGAGTGTGATAGTGTGATAGTGAGTGATAGTGTGAGTGACCATGTGAGTGTGTTCACCGTTCTCGTGAGTGAGGTTGAGTGAGTGATAGTGATAGTGTGATAGTGATAGTGTGTAAGTGTGATAGTGATATAGTGATAGTGTGATAGTGATAGTGTGTAAGTGTGATAGTGATATAGTGATAGTGTGATAGTGATAGTGTGTAAGTGTGATAGTGATATAGTGATAGTGTGATAGTGATAGTGTGATAGTGAGTGTGTTCACCGTTCTCGTGAGTGAGGTTGAGTGAGTAAGTGTGATAGTGATATAGTGATAGTGTGATAGTGTGTAAGTGTGATAGTGAGTGATTGATAGTGTGATTGATAGTGTGAGTGAGTGTGTTCACCGTTCTCGTGCGTGAGGTTGAGTGAGTGAGTGTGATAGTGATATAGTGATAGTGTGTAAGTGTGATAGTGATATAGTGATAGAGTGACCATGTGAGTGTGTTCACCGTTCTCGTGAGTGAGGTTGAGTGAGTGAGTGAGTGGGTGAGTGAGTGTGAGTGTGATAGTGAGTGATAGTGTGAGTGACCATGTGAGTGTGTTCACCGTTCTCGTGAGTGAGGTTGAGTGAGTGATAGTGATAGTGTGATAGTGATAGTGTGTAAGTGTGATAGTGATATAGTGATAGTGTGATAGTGATAGTGTGTAAGTGTGATAGTGATATAGTGATAGTGTGATAGTGATAGTGTGTAAGTGTGATAGTGATATAGTGATAGTGTGATAGTGATAGTGTGATAGTGAGTGTGTTCACCGTTCTCGTGAGTGAGGTTGAGTGAGTAAGTGTGATAGTGATATAGTGATAGTGTGATAGTGTGTAAGTGTGATAGTGAGTGATTGATAGTGTGATTGATAGTGTGAGTGAGTGTGTTCACCGTTCTCGTGCGTGAGGTTGAGTGAGTGAGTGTGATAGTGATATAGTGATAGTGTGTAAGTGTGATAGTGATATAGTGATAGAGTGACCATGTGAGTGTGTTCACCGTTCTCGTGAGTGAGGTTGAGTGAGTGAGTGGGTGAGTGAGTGTGAGTGTGATAGTGTGATAGTGAGTGATAGTGTGAGTGACCATGTGAGTGTGTTCACCGTTCTCGTGAGTGAGGTTGAGTGAGTGATAGTGATAGTGATAGTGATAGTGTGTAAGTGTGATAGTGATATAGTGATAGTGTGATAGTGATAGTGTGTAAGTGTGATAGTGATATAGTGATAGTGTGATAGTGATAGTGTGTAAGTGTGATAGTGATATAGTGATAGTGTGATAGTGATAGTGTGATAGTGAGTGTGTTCACCGTTCTCGTGAGTGAGGTTGAGTGAGTAAGTGTGATAGTGATATAGTGATAGTGTGATAGTGTGTAAGTGTGATAGTGAGTGATTGATAGTGTGATTGATAGTGTGAGTGAGTGTGTTCACCGTTCTCGTGCGTGAGGTTGAGTGAGTGAGTGTGATAGTGATATAGTGATAGTGTGTAAGTGTGATAGTGATATAGTGATAGAGTGACCATGTGAGTGTGTTCACCGTTCTCGTGAGTGAGGTTGAGTGAGTGAGTGAGTGGGTGAGTGAGTGTGAGTGTGATAGTGTGATAGTGAGTGATAGTGTGAGTGACCATGTGAGTGTGTTCACCGTTCTCGTGAGTGAGGTTGAGTGAGTGATAGTGATAGTGTGATAGTGATAGTGTGTAAGTGTGATAGTGATATAGTGATAGTGTGATAGTGATAGTGTGTAAGTGTGATAGTGATATAGTGATAGTGTGATAGTGATAGTGTGTAAGTGTGATAGTGATATAGTGATAGTGTGATAGTGATAGTGTGATAGTGAGTGTGTTCACCGTTCTCGTGAGTGAGGTTGAGTGAGTAAGTGTGATAGTGATATAGTGATAGTGTGATAGTGTGTAAGTGTGATAGTGAGTGATTGATAGTGTGATTGATAGTGTGAGTGAGTGTGTTCACCGTTCTCGTGAGTGAGGTTGAGTGAGTGAGTGTGATAGTGATATAGTGATAGTGTGTAAGTGTGATAGTGATATAGTGATAGAGTGACCATGTGAGTGTGTTCACCGTTCTCGTGAGTGAGGTTGAGTGAGTGAGTGAGTGGGTGAGTGAGTGTGAGTGTGATAGTGTGATAGTGAGTGATAGTGTGAGTGACCATGTGAGTGTGTTCACCGTTCTCGTGAGTGAGGTTGAGTGAGTGATAGTGATAGTGTGATAGTGATAGTGTGTAAGTGTGATAGTGATATAGTGATAGTGTGATAGTGATAGTGTGTAAGTGTGATAGTGATATAGTGATAGTGTGATAGTGATAGTGTGTAAGTGTGATAGTGATATAGTGATAGTGTGATAGTGATAGTGTGATAGTGAGTGTGTTCACCGTTCTCGTGAGTGAGGTTGAGTGAGTAAGTGTGATAGTGATATAGTGATAGTGTGATAGTGTGTAAGTGTGATAGTGAGTGATTGATAGTGTGATTGATAGTGTGAGTGAGTGTGTTCACCGTTCTCGTGCGTGAGGTTGAGTGAGTGAGTGTGATAGTGATATAGTGATAGTGTGTAAGTGTGATAGTGATATAGTGATAGAGTGACCATGTGAGTGTGTTCACCGTTCTCGTGAGTGAGGTTGAGTGAGTGAGTGAGTGGGTGAGTGAGTGTGAGTGTGATAGTGTGATAGTGAGTGATAGTGTGAGTGACCATGTGAGTGTGTTCACCGTTCTCGTGAGTGAGGTTGAGTGAGTGATAGTGATAGTGTGATAGTGATAGTGTGTAAGTGTGATAGTGATATAGTGATAGTGTGATAGTGATAGTGTGTAAGTGTGATAGTGATATAGTGATAGTGTGATAGTGATAGTGTGTAAGTGTGATAGTGATATAGTGATAGTGTGATAGTGATAGTGTGATAGTGAGTGTGTTCACCGTTCTCGTGAGTGAGGTTGAGTGAGTAAGTGTGATAGTGATATAGTGATAGTGTGATAGTGTGTAAGTGTGATAGTGAGTGATTGATAGTGTGATTGATAGTGTGAGTGAGTGTGTTCACCGTTCTCGTGCGTGAGGTTGAGTGAGTGAGTGTGATAGTGATATAGTGATAGTGTGTAAGTGTGATAGTGATATAGTGATAGAGTGACCATGTGAGTGTGTTCACCGTTCTCGTGAGTGAGGTTGAGTGAGTGAGTGAGTGGGTGAGTGAGTGTGAGTGTGATAGTGTGATAGTGAGTGATAGTGTGAGTGACCATGTGAGTGTGTTCACCGTTCTCGTGAGTGAGGTTGAGTGAGTGATAGTGATAGTGTGATAGTGATAGTGTGTAAGTGTGATAGTGATATAGTGATAGTGTGATAGTGATAGTGTGTAAGTGTGATAGTGATATAGTGATAGTGTGATAGTGATAGTGTGTAAGTGTGATAGTGATATAGTGATAGTGTGATAGTGATAGTGTGATAGTGAGTGTGTTCACCGTTCTCGTGAGTGAGGTTGAGTGAGTCAGTGTGATAGTGATATAGTGATAGTGTGATAGTGTGTAAGTGTGATAGTGAGTGATTGATAGTGTGATTGATAGTGTGAGTGAGTGTGTTCACCGTTCTCGTGCGTGAGGTTGAGTGAGTGAGTGTGATAGTGATATAGTGATAGTGTGTAAGTGTGATAGTGATATAGTGATAGAGTGACCATGTGAGTGTGTTCACCGTTCTCGTGCGTGAGGTTGAGTGAGTGAGTGTGATAGTGATATAGTGATAGTGTGTAAGTGTGATAGTGATATAGTGATAGTGATATAGTGATAGTGATATAGTGATAGTGTGAGTGAGTGATTGATAGTGTGATTGAGTGTGTTCACCGTTCTCGTGCGTGAGGTTGAGTGTGTAAGTGTGATAGTGATATAGTGAGTGATTGATAGTGTGATTGATAGTGTGATTGAGTGTGTTCACCGTTCTCGTGCGTGAGGTTGAGTGAGTGAGTGTGATAGTGAGTGTGATAGTGATATAGTGATAGTGTGAGTGAGTGTGATAGTGATATAGTGATAGTGTGAGTGAGTGATTGATAGTGTGATTGAGTGTGATAGTGATATAGTGATAGTGTGAGTGAGTGTGATAGTGATATAGTGATAGTTTGAGTGAGTGATTGATAGTGTGATTGATAGTGTGAGTGAGTGATTGATAGTGTGATTGAGTGTGATAGTGATATAGTGATAGTGTGAGTGAGTGTGATAGTGATATAGTGATAGTTTGAGTGAGTGATTGATAGTGTGATTGATAGTGTGAGTGATAGTGATTGAGTGTTCACCGTTCTCGTGCGTGAGGTTGAGTGAGTGAGTGTGAGTGTGTAAGTGAGATAGTGATAGTGTGATTGATAGTGTGTGTGATAGTGTGTGTGATTGATAGTGTGATTGATAGTGTGTTCACCGTTCTCGTGCGTGAGGTTGAGGAGGGATCCCAGCGCAGCCCTCACAGCCAGGCTCAGGCTCCGGCGGAGAGACGCCGACGAAGGTTGTGACGAAGGTTGTGACGAAGGTTGTGATGCTGAAGGTTGTGATGCTGAAGGTTGTGATGCTGGTGAAGGTTGTGACGAAGGTTGTGATGAAGGTTGTGATGCTGACGAAGGTTGTGATGAAGGTTGTGACGAAGGTTGTGACGCTGCTGAAGGTTGTGACGCTGACGAAGGTTGTGACGCTGAAGGTTGTGACGCTGAAGGTTGTGAGGCTGACGAAGGTTGTGATGCTGAAGGTTGTGACGAAGGTTGTGACGAAGGTTGTGACGCTGAAGGTTGTGATGCTGAAGGTTGTGACGCTGGTGAAGGTTGTGATGAAGGTTGTGATGAAGGTTGTGACGAAGGTTGTGATGGGTGTGACGCTGGTGAAGGTTGTGACGCTGGTTGTGATGAAGGTTGTGACGAAGGTTGTGATGGGTGTGACGAAGGTTGTGACGCTGACGAAGGTTGTGACGCTGGTGAAGGTTGTGATGCTGGTGAAGGTTGTGACGAAGGTTGTGATGGGTGTGAAGGTTGTGACGCTGGTTGTGATGGGTGTGAAGGTTGTGACGCTGGTTGTGACGCTGGTTGTGATGGGTGTGACGCTGGTTGTGATGCTGAAGGTTGTGACGAAGGTTGTGACGCTGGTGAAGGTTGTGACACTGGTTGTGATGAAGGTTGTGACGAAGGTTGTGACGCTGGTTGTGATGATGGGTGTGATGGGTGTGATGCTGGTGAAGGTTGTGATGGGTGTGATGAAGGTTGTGACGAAGGTTGTGATGGGTGTGACGCTGGTGAAGGTTGTGACGAAGGTTGTGACGAAGGTTGTGATGGGTGTGACGCTGGTGAAGGTTGTGACGAAGGTTGTGATGGGTGTGACGCTGGTGAAGGTTGTGACGAAGGTTGTGACGAAGGTTGTGATGGGTGTGACGCTGGTGAAGGTTGTGACGAAGGTTGTGACGAAGGTTGTGATGAAGGTTGTGAATGTTGTGAAGGTTGTGACAAAGGTTGTGATGGGTGTGACGCTGGTGAAGGTTGTGACGAAGGTTGTGACGCTGAAGGTTGTGACGCTGGTGACGGGTGTGACGCTGAAGGTTGTGACGGCTGTGATGAAGGTTGTGACGAAAGTTGTGACGAAGGTTGTGACGAAGGTTGTGACGCTGGTGAATGTCGTGAATGTTGTGAATGTTGTGACGCTGAAGGTTGTGACGCTGGTGAAGGTTGTGACGAAGGTTGTGACGGGTGTGACGCTGATGGTTGTGACGCTGGTGAAGGTTGTGACGCTGGTGAAGGTTGTGATGGGTGTGACGCTGACGAAGGTTGTGAAGGTTGTGACGAAGGTTGTGACGGGTGTGAATGTTGTGACGGTTGTGACGCTGACGAAGGTTGTGAATGTTGTGACGGGTGTGAATGTTGTGACGCTGATGGTTGTGACGCTGATGAAGGCTGTGAATGTTGTGAATGTTGTGACGGTTGTGACGCTGATGAAGGTTGTGAATGTTGTGAATGTTGTGACGCTGATGAAGGTTGTGAATGTTGTGAATGTTGTGACGCTGATGTAGGTTGTGACGATGATGAAGGTTGTGAATGTTGTGAATGTTGTGAATGTTGTGACGCTGACGTAGGTTGTGACGATGATGAAGGTTGTGAATGTTGTGAATGTTGTGAATGTTGTGACGCTGATGAAGGTTGTGAATGTTGTGAATGTTGTGACGCTGATGAAGGCTGTGAATGTTGTGAATGTTGTGACGGTTGTGACGCTGATGAAGGTTGTGAATGTTGTGAATGTTGTGACGCTGATGAAGGCTGTGAATGTTGTGAATGTTGTGACGCTGACGTAGGTTGTGACGCTGATGAAGGTTGTGAATGTTGTGAATGTTGTGACGCTGATGAAGGTTGTGAATGTTGTGAATGTTGTGAATGTTGTGACGCTGACGTAGGTTGTGACGATGATGAAGGTTGTGAATGTTGTGAATGTTGTGACGGTTGTGACGCTGATGGCGGCGGTGGTGTTTGTAGCGACGCTGACAACAATGATGTTGTTGACGGTGTTGACAATGTTGTTGACAAAGTTGTTGATAATGATGTTGTTGTTGATAATGTTGTTGATGTTGTTGTTGATAATGTTGACGATGTTGTTGATGTTGTTGTTGTTGATGATTCCCGCGTCAAGGCATCGACTTGCAGCATCCTGCAGGCTACGTCAAGCAGCCTGTGAAGTCAGTCACTCAGTCAGTCACTCAGTCAGTCACTCAGTCAGTCAGTCACTCAGTCACTCAGTCAGTCACTCAGTCAATCACTCAGTCAGTCACTCAGTTAGTTACTCAGTCACTCAGTGAGTCAGTCACTCAGTCAGTCACTCAGTCAGTCAGTCACTCAGTCAGTCACTCAGTCAGTCACTCAGTCACTCACTCAGTCAGTCACTCAGTCAGTCACTCAGTCAATCAGTCACTCAGTCAGTCAGTCACTCAGTCACTCAGTCACTCAGTGAGTTACTCACTCAGTCAGTCAGTCACTCAGTCAGTCAGTCAGTCACTCAGTCAGTCACTCAGTCAGTCACTCAGTTAGTCACTCAATCAGTCAGTCACTCAGTCAGTCACTCAATCAGTCAGTCACTCAGTCAGTCACTCAGTCAGTCAGTCAGTCACTCAGTCAGTCAGTCACTCAGTCAGTCAGTCACTCAGTCAGTCACTCAGTCAGTCACTCAGTCAGTCACTCACTCAGTCAGTCACTCAGTCAGTCACTCAGTCAGTCACTCAGTCAGTCAGTCACTCAGTCAGTCACTCAGTCAGTCACTCAATCAGTCAGTCACTCAGTCAGTCACTCAGTCAGTCAGTCACTCAGTCAGTCAGTTAGTCACTCAGTCACTCACTCAGTCAGTCAGTCACTCAGTCACTCACTCAGTCAGTCAGTCACTCAGTCACTCAGTCAGTCACTCAGTCAGTCAGTCACTCAGTCACTCAGTCAGTCAGTCAGTCAGTCACTCAGTCAGTCAGTCACTCACTCAGTCAGTCACTCAGTCAGTCACTCAGTCAGTCAGTCACTCAGTCAGTCACTCAGTCAGTCACTCAGTCAGTCACTCAATCAGTCAGTCACTCAGTCAGTCACTCAGTCAGTCACTCAGTCAGTCACTCACTCAGTCAGTCAGTCACTCAGTCAGTCACTCAGTCACTCACTCAGTCAGTCACTCAGTCAGTCACTCAGTCAGTCACTCAGTCAGTCACTCAGTCAGTCACTCAGTCAGTCAGTCAGTCACTCAGTCAGTCACTCAGTCAGTCACTCAGTCAGTCACTCAGTCAGTCACTCAGTCAGTCAGTCACTCAGTCAGTCACTCAATCAGTCAGTCACTCAGTCAGTCACTCAATCAGTCAGTCACTCAGTCAGTCACTCAGTCAGTCACTCAGTCAGTCAGTCACTCAGTCACTCAGTCAGTCACTCAATCAGTCACTCAGTCAGTTAGTTAGTCAGTCAGTTAGTCAGTGACTCAGTCAGTCACTCACTCAGTCAGTCAGTCAGTCACTCAGTCAGTCACTCAGTCACTCACTCAGTCAGTCACTCAGTCAGTCACTCAGTCAGTCACTCAGTCAGTCACTCAGTCAGTCACTCAGTCAGTGACTCAGTCAGTGACTCAGTCAGTCAGTCACTCAGTCAGTCACTCAGTCAGTCAGTCACTCAGTCAGTCACTCAGTCAGTCACTCAGTCAATCAGTCACTCAGCCACTCAGTCAGTCACTCAGTCAGTTAGTTAGTCAGTCAGTCAGTCACTCAGTCACCCACCCACTCACCCACCCACTCACCCACCCACTCACCCACCCACCCACTCACCCACTCACCCACCCACTCACCCACCCACTCACCCACCCACCCACCCACTCACCCACCCACCCACTCACCCACCCACCCACTCACCCACCCACCCACCCACTCACCCACCCACCCACCCACTCACCCACCCACCCACCCACTCACCCACCCACCCACTCACCCACCCACCCACCCACTCACCCACCCACTCACTCACCCACTCACCCACTCACTCCCCCACTCACCCACCCACCCACTCCCCCACTCACCCACCCACTCACTCACTCACTCCCCCACTCACTCACCCACTCACCCACTCACCCACCCACCCACCCACTCACCCACTCACCCACCCACTCACTCACTCACCCACCCACTCACCCACTCACCCACCCACCCACCCACTCACCCACCCACCCACCCACTCACCCACTCACTCACCCACCCACTCACTCACCCACTCACCCACCCACCCACCTCACAATGTGTACTAGGAGAGTTGAATTCTCAAAGGCCACCAGGTAGAGCTGATTCTCAGCGTTGTGAACAGTCACCTGGAACATCATCACCATTATCATCATCAGCACCATCATCATCAGTATCATCATCAGCACCATCATCATCATCAGCACCATCATCATCATCATCAGTAGTAGTAGTATCTTCATCATCAGCACCATCATCAGTAGTAGTATCATCATCAGTAGTAGTATCATCATCATCATCATCAGTAGTAGTATCATCATCATCATCAGTAGTATCATCATCATCATCAGCACCATCATCATCATCAGTAGTATCATCATCATCAGTAGTAGTATCATCATCAGCAGCACCATCATCATCATCAGTAGTAGTAGTATCATCATCAGCACCATTATCATCAGTAGTAGTATCATCATCAGTAGTAGTATCATCATCAGTAGTAGTATCATCATCATCATCAGCACCATTATCATCAGTAGTAGTATCATCATCAGTAGTATTATCATCATCAGTAGTAGTATCATCATCAGTATTAGTATCATCATCAGTAGTATCATCATCATCAGTAGTATCATCATCATCATCAGTAGTATCATCATCATCATCAGTAGTATTATCATCATCAGTAGTAGTATCATCATCAGTAGTATTATCATCATCAGTAGTAGTATCATCATCAGTAGTAGTATCATCATCAGTAGTAGTATCATCATCAGTAGTAGTATCATCATCAGTAGTAGTATCATCATCAGCTGCAGTAGTATCATCATCAGTAGTAGTAATAGTATCATCATCAGCACCATCATCATCAGTAGCATCAACATCAGCAGCATCAAAATCAGAATCATCAAAGTCATCATCAGCAGCTGCATGGGTAGGTGTCTGACTGGGTAGGTAGCTGAGTGGGTAGCTGAGTGGGTAGGTGTCTGACTGGGTAGGTAGCTGAGTGGGTAGCTGAGTGGGTAGCTGAGTGGGTAGGTGTCAGACTGGGTAGGTAGCTGTGTGGGTAGCTGAGTGGGTAGGTGTCAGACTGGGTAGGTAGCTGAGTGGGTAGGTGTCAGACTGGGTAGGTAGCTGAGTGGGTAGCTGAGTGGATAGGTGTCAGACTGGGTAGGTAGCTGAGTGGGTAGGTGTCAGACTGGGTAGGTAGCTGAGTGGGTAGCTGAGTGGGTAGGTGTCTGACTGGGTAGGTAGCTGAGTGGGTAGGTATCTGACTGGGCAGGTAGCTGAATGGGTAGCTGAGTGGGTAGGTGTCAGACTGGGTAGGTAGCTGAGTGGGTAGCTGAGTGGGTAGGTGTCAGACTGGGTAGGTAGCTGAATGGGTAGGTGTCTGACTGGGTAGGTAGCTGAGTGGGTAGCTGAGTGGGTAGCTGAGTGGGTAGGTGTCTGACTGGGTAGGTAGCTGAGTGGGTAGCTGAGTGGGTAGGTGTCTGACTGGGTAGGTAGCTGAGTGGGTAGCTGAGTGGGTAGGTGTCAGACTGGGTAGGTAGCTGAGTGGGTAGCTGAGCGGGTAGGTGTCAGACTGGGAAGGAAGCTGAGTGGGTAGGTGTCTGACTGGGTAGGTAGCGGAGTGGGTAGCTGAGTGGGTAGCTGAGTGGGTAGGTGTCTGACTGGGTAGGTAGCTGAGTGGGTAGGTGTCAGACTGGGTAGGTAGCTGAGTGGGTAGCTGAGCGGGTAGGTGTCAGACTGGGAAGGTAGCTGAGTGGGTAGCTGAGTGGGTAGGTGTCAGACTGGGTAGGTAGCTGAGTGGGTAGGTGTCTGACTGGGTAGGTGTCTGAGTGGGTAGCTGAGTGGGTAGCTGGATGGGTAGGTGTCAGACTGGGTAGGTAGCTGAGTGGGTAGGTGTCTGACTGGGTAGGTAGCTGAGTGGATAGCTGAGTGGGTAGCTGGATGGGCAGGTGTCAGACTGGGTAGGTAGCTGAGTGGATAGCTGAGTGGGTAGGTGTCAGACTAAGTAGGTAGCTGAGTGGGTAGCTGAGTGGGTAGGTGTCTGACTGGGTAGGTAGCTGAGTGGGTAGCTGAGTGGGTAGGTGTCAGACTGGGTAGGTAGCTGAGTGGGTAGCTGAGCAGGTAGGTGTCAGACTGGGAAGGAAGCTGAGTGGGTAGGTGTCTGACTGGGTAGGTAGCTGAGTGGGTAGCTGAGTGGGTAGCTGAGCGGGTAGGTGTCTGACTGGGTAGGTAGCTGAGTGGGTAGGTGTCAGACTGGGTAGGTAGCTGAGTGGGTAGCTGAGCGGGTAGGTGTCAGACTGGGAAGGTAGCTGAGTGGGTAGCTGAGTGGGTAGGTGTCAGACTGGGTAGGTAGCTGAGTGGGTAGGTGTCTGACTGGGTAGGTGTCTGAGTGGGTAGCTGAGTGGGTAGCTGGATGGGTAGGTGTCAGACTGGGTAGGTAGCTGAGTGGGTAGGTGTCTGACTGGGTAGGTAGCTGAGTGGGTAGCTGAGTGGGTAGCTGGATAGGCAGGTGTCAGACTGGGTAGGTAGCTGAGTGGATAGCTGAGTGGGTAGGTGTCAGACTGGGTAGGTAGCTGAGTGGGTAGGTGTCAGACTGGGTAGGTAGCTGAGTGGGTAGCTGAGTGGATAGGTGTCAGACTGGGTAGGTAGCTGAGTGGGTAGGTGTCAGACTGGGTAGGTAGCTGAGTGGGTAGCTGAGTGGGTAGGTGTCTGACTGGGTCGGTAGCTGAGTGGGTAGGTATCTGACTGGGCAGGTAGCTGAATGGGTAGCTGAGTGGGTAGGTGTCAGACTGGGTAGGTAGCTGAGTGGGTAGCTGAGTGGGTAGGTGTCTGACTGGGTAGGTAGCTGAGTGGGTAGCTGAGTGGGTAGGTGTCTGACTGGGTAGGTAGCTGAGTGGGTAGCTGAGTGGGTAGGTGTCAGACTGGATAGGTAGCTGAGTGGGTAGCTGAGCGGGTAGGTGTCAGACTGGGAAGGAAGCTGAGTGGGTAGGTGTCTGACTGGGTAGGTAGCTGAGTGGGTAGCTGAGTGGGTAGCTGAGTGGGTAGGTGTCTGACTGGGTAGGTAGCTGAGTGGGTAGGTGTCAGACTGGGTAGGTAGCTGAGTGGGTAGCTGAGCGGGTAGGTGTCAGACTGGGAAGGTAGCTGAGTGGGTAGCTGAGTGGGTAGGTGTCAGACTGGGTAGGTAGCTGAGTGGGTAGGTGTCTGACTGGGTAGGTGTCTGAGTGGGTAGCTGAGTGGGTAGCTGGATGGGTAGGTGTCAGACTGGGTAGGTAGCTGAGTGGGTAGGTGTCTGACTGGGTAGGTAGCTGAGTGGGTAGCTGAGTGGGTAGCTGGATGGGCAGGTGTCAGACTGGGTAGGTAGCTGAGTGGATAGCTGAGTGGGTAGGTGTCAGACTGGGTAGGTAGCTGAGTGGGTAGCTGAGTGGGTAGGTGTCTGACTGGGTAGGTAGCTGAGTGGGTAGCTGAGTGGGTAGGTGTCAGACTGGGTAGGTAGCTGAGTGGGTAGCTGAACGGGTAGGTGTCAGACTGGGAAGGAAGCTGAGTGGGTAGGTGTCTGACTGGGTAGGTAGATGAGTGGGTAGCTGAGTGGGTAGGTGTCTGACTGGGTAGGTAGCTGAGTGGGTAGGTGTCAGACTGGGTAGGTAGCTGAGTGGGTAGCTGAGCGGGTAGGTGTCAGACTGGGAAGGTAGCTGAGTGGGTAGCTGAGTGGGTAGGTGTCAGACTGGGTAGGTAGCTGAGTGGGTAGGTGTCTGACTGGGTAGGTGTCTGAGTGGGTAGCTGAGTGGGTAGCTGGATGGGTAGGTGTCAGACTGGGTAGGTAGCTGAGTGGGTAGGTGTCTGACTGGGTAGGTAGCTGAGTGGGTAGCTGAGTGGGTAGCTGGATGGGCAGGTGTCAGACTGGGTAGGTAGCTGAGTGGATAGCTGAGTGGGTAGGTGTCAGACTGGGTAGGTAGCTGAGTGGGTAGCTGAGTGGGTAGGTGTCTGACTGGGTAGGTAGCTGAGTGGGTAGCTGAGTGGGTAGGTGTCAGACTGGGTAGGTAGCTGAGTGGGTAGCTGAGTGGGTAGCTGGATGGGTAGGTGTCTGCCTGGGTAGGTAGCTGAGTGGGTAGCTGAGTGGGTAGGTGTCTGACTGGGTAGGTAGCTGAGTGGGTAGCTGAGTGGGTAGCTGGATGGGTAGGTGTCTGACTGGGTAGGTAGCTGAGTGGGTAGCTGAGTGGGTAGGTGTCAGACTGGGTAGGTAGCTGAGTGGGTAGCTGAGTGGGTAGCTGGATGGGTAGGTGTCTGCCTGGGTAGGTAGCTGAGTGGGTAGCTGAGTGGGTAGGTGTCTGACTGGGTAGGTAGCTGAGTGGGTAGCTGAGTGGGTAGCTGGATGGGTAGGTGTCTGACTGGGTAGGTAGCTGAGTGGGTAGGTGTCAGACTGGGTAGGTAGCTGAGTGGGTAGCTGAGCGGGTAGGTGTCAGACTGGGAAGGTAGCTGAGTGGGTAGCTGAGTGGGTAGGTGTCTGACTGGGTAGGTAGCTGAGTGGGTAGGTGTCAGCCTGGGTAGGTAGCTGAGTGGGTAGCTGGGTGGGTAGCTGGATGGGTAGGTGTCAGACTGGGTAGGTAGCTGAGTGGGTAGCTGAGTGGGTAGGTGTCTGACTGGGTAGGTAGCTGAGTGGGTAGCTGAGTGGGTAGCTGGATGGGTAGGTGTCTGACTGGGTAGGTAGCTGAGTGGGTAGGTGTCAGACTGGGTAGGTAGCTGAGTGGGTAGCTGAGTGGGTAGGTGTCAGACTGGGAAGGTAGCTGAGTGGGTAGCTGAGTGGGTAGGTGTCTGACTGGGTAGGTAGCTGAGTGGGTAGGTGTCAGACTGGGTAGGTAGCTGAGTGGGTAGCTGGGTGGGTAGCTGGATGGGTAGGTGTCAGACTGGGTAGGTAGCTGAGTAGGTAGCTGAGTGGGTAGGTGTCAGACTGGGTAGGTAGCTGAGTGGGTAGGTGTCAGACTGGGTAGGTAGCTGAGTGGGTAGCTGAGTGGGTAGCTGGATGGGCAGGTGTCAAACTGGGTAGGTAGCTGAGTGGGTAGCTGAGTGGGTAGGTGTCTGACTGGGTAGGTAGCTGAGTGGGTAGCTGAGTGGGTAGTTGTCTGACTGGGTAGGTAGCTGTGTGGGTAGCTGAGTGGGTAGGTGTCAGACTGGGAAGGTAGCTGAGTGGGTAGCTGAGTGGGTAGGTGTCAGACTGGGTAGGTAGCTGAGTGGGTAGGTGTCTGACTGGGTAGGTAGCTGAGTGGGTAGGTAGCTGAGTGGGTAGCTGAGTGGGTAGGTGTCTGACTGGGTAGGTAGCTGAGTGGGTAGCTGAGTGGGTAGGTGTCAGACTGGGTAGGTAGCTGAGTGGGTAGCTGGGTGGGTAGCTGGATGGGTAGGTGTCAGACTGGGTAGGTAGCTGAGTGGGTAGGTGTGTGACTGGGTAGGTAGCTGAGTGGGTAGCTGAGTGGGTAGCTGGATGGGCAGGTGTCAGACTGGGTAGGTAGCTGAGTGGATAGCTGAGTGGGTAGGTGTCAGACTGGGTAGGTAGCTGAGTGGGTAGCTGAGTGGGTAGGTGTCTGACTGGGTAGGTAGCTGAGTGGGTAGCTGAGTGGGTAGGTGCTTGACCAGGTAGGTAGCTGCGTGGGTAGCCGAGTGGGTAGGTGTCAGACTGGGTAGGTAGCTGAGTGGGTAGCTGAGTGGGTAGGTGTCTGACCGGGTAGGTAGCTGAGTGGGTAGGTGTCAGACTGGGTAGGTAGCTGAGTAGGTAGCTGAGTGGGTAGCTGAGTGAGTGCCTGAGTAGGTAGCTGAGTGGGTAGCTGAGTGGGTAGCTGAGTGGGTAGCTGAGTGGGTAGCTGGGTGGGTAGCTGGGTGGGTAGCTGAGTGAGTAGCTGGTTGGTTGGCTGAGTGGGTAGCTGAGTGGGTAGCGGAGTGGGTAGCTGAGTTGGTAGGTAGCTGGGTAGGTAGCTGGGTGGGTAGCTGAGTGTGTGTGTAGCTGAGTGTGTAGCTGAGTGAGTAGCTGAGTTGGAAGGTAGCTGGGTAGGTAGCTGGGTGGGTAGCTGAGTGTGTAGCTGAGTGGGTAGCTGAGTGGGTGTGTAGCTTAGTTTGTAGCTGGGTGGGTAGCTGGGTGGGTAGCTGAGTGGCTGGGTGTGTAGCTGAGTGTGTAGCTGAGTAGCTGAGTGTGTAGCTGAGTGAGTAGCTGAGTGTGTAGCTGAGTGGGTAGCTGAGTAGCTGAGTGAGTAGCTGAGTAGCTGAGTGTATAGCTGAGTGTGTAGCTGAGTGAGTAGCTGAGTAGCTGGGTGGGTAGCTGGGTAGGTAGCTGGGTGGGTAGCTGGGTGGGTAGCTGAGTGAGCAGCTGGGTGTGTAGCTGAGTGGGTAGCTGAGTGGGTAGCTGAGTAGCTGAGTGGGTAGCTGAGTAGCTGAGTGTGTAGCTGAGTGTGTAGCTGGGTGTGTAGCTGAGTGGCTGGGTGTGTAGCTGAGTGGCTGGGTGCATAGCTGAGTGTGTAGCTGAGTGGCTGGGTGTGTAGCTGAGTGGCTGGGTGTGTAGCTGAGTGTGTAGCTGGGTGGGTAGCTGAGTGGGTAGCTGAGTGAGTAGCTGGATGGGTAGCTGGTGGGTAGCTGAGTGGCTGGGTGTGTAGCTGAGTGTGTAGCTGAGTTGGTAGGTAGCTGAGTTGGTAGGTAGCTGAGTGTGTAGCTGAGTGTGTAGCTGGGTGTGTAGCTGAGTGTGTAGCTGAGTGAGTAGCTGAGTGTGTAGCTGAGTGGCTGGGTGTGTAGATGAGTGTGTAGCTGAGTGTGTAGCTGAGTGTGTAGCTGAGTGGCTGGGTGTGTAGCTGGGTAGCTGAGTGGGTAGCTGAGTGTGTGTAGCTGAGTGTGTAGCTGAGTGAGTAGCTGGGTGGGTAGCTGGGTGGGTAGCTGAGTGGGTAGCTGGGTGTGTAGCTGAGTGTGTAGCTGAGTTGGTAGGTAGCTGAGTGGGTAGCTGAGTGTGTAGCTGGGTGGGTAGCTGAGTAGCTGAGTGAGTAGCTGGGTGGGTAGCTGAGTGGGTAGCTGAGCGTGTAGCTGAGTTGGTAATTAGCTGAGTGGGTAGCTGAGTGGGTAGCTGAGTGTGTAGCTGAGTTGGTAATTAGCTGAGTGGGTAGCTGAGTGGGTAGCTGAGTGGGTAGCTGAGTGGGTAGCTGAACGGGTAGCTGAGTGGGTAGCTGAGTGGGTAGCTGAGTGGGTAGCTGAGTGTGTAGCTGAGTGGGTAGCTGGGTGTAGCTGAGTGGCTGAGTGTGTAGCTGAGTGTGTAGCTGAGTTGGTAGGTAGCTGAGTGTGTAGCTGAGTGTGTAGCTGAGTGGGTAGCTGTGTAGCTGTGTAGCTGAGTGTGTAGCTGAGTGGGTAGCTGAGTGGGTAGCTGAGTGGGTAGGTAGCTGAGTGTGTAGCTGGGTGGGTAGCTGAGTAGCTGGGTGTGTAGTTGAGTGTGTAGCTGGGTAGCTGAGTGTGTAGCTGAGTGGGTAGCTGAGTGAGTAGCTGGGTAGCTGGGTGTGTAGCTGAGTGGGTAGCTGTGTAGCTAAGTGTGTAGCTGAGTGTGTAGCTGAGTGAGTGGCTGAGTGAGTGGCTGAGTGGGTGGCTGAGTGGGTAGCTGAGTGGGTAGCTGAGTGGGTAGCTGAGTGAGTAGGTAGCTGAGTGTGTAGCTGAGTGAGTGGCTGAGTGTGTAGCTGAGTGTGTAGCTGAGTGGGTAGCTGAGTGGCTGAGTGGGTAGCTGAGTGGGTAGCTGAGTGGGTAGCTGAGCGGGTAGCTGAGTGTGTAGCTGAGTGGGTAGCTGAGTGGGTAGCTGAGTGGCTGGGTGTGTAGCTGAGTGTGTAGCTGAGTGTGTAGCTGAGTGTGTAGCTGAGTGGGTAGGTAGCTGAGTGGGTAGCTGAGTAGGTAGCTGAGTGTGTAGCTGAGTGAGTGGCTGAGTGTGTAGCTGAGTTGGTAGCTGAGTGGGTAGCTGAGTGGGTAGCTGAGTGAGTAGCTGGGTAGCTGAGTGTGTAGCTGAGTGGGTAGCTGAGTGGGTAGATGAGTGGGTAGCTGAGTGGGTGGCTGAGTGAGTAGCTGGGTAGCTGAGTGTGTAGCTGAGTGGGTAGCTGAGTGGGTGGCTGAGTGAGTAGCTGGGTAGCTGAGTGTGTAGCTGAGTGGGTAGCTGAGTGGGTGGCTGAGTGAGTAGCTGGGTAGCTGAGTGGTTAGCTGAGTGGGTAGCTGAGTAGCTGAGTGTGTAGCTGAGTGTGTAGCTGAGTGGGTAGCTGAGTGGGTAGCTGAGTAGCTGAGTGTGTAGCTGAGTGGGTAGCTGAGTGGGTAGCTGAGTAGCTGAGTGTGTAGCTGAGTGGGTAGCTGAGTGGGTAGCTGAGTAGCTGAGTGGGTAGCTGAGTGGGTAGCTGAGTGGGTAGCTGAGTGTGTAGCTGAGTGGGTAGCTGAGTGAGTAGCTGGGTAGCTGAGTGGGTGGCTGAGTGAGTGTGTAGCTGAGTGTGTAGCTGAGTGGGTAGCTGAGTAGCTGAGTGGGTAGCTGAGTGGGTAGCTGAGTGGCTCACGCTCTCGAGGACCCTGAGGCTTCTTTCCGCTCCACGGAGAGCCTCTGACAGAGACTCCTCATCACGACTCTCAGACAGCTGTCTCACACAGACACACACTGAGACACAGAGACACACAGTGAGACACACACAGTGAGACATACACAGTGAGACACACAGTGAGACTCCTCATCACGACTCTCAGACAGCTGTCTCACACAGACACACACTGAGACACAGAGACACACAGTGAGACACACAGTGAGACACAGTGAGACACAGTGAGACACAGTGAGACACACAGTGACACACACAGTCAGACACACACAGTGACACACACACACAGTGACACACACACAGTGACATACACACAGTGACACACACAGTGACACACACACAGTGAGACACACACAGTGAGACACACACAGTGAGACTCCTCATCACGACTCTCAGACAGCTGTCTCACACAGACACACACTGAGACAGAGACACACACAGTGAGACACAGTGAGACACACAGTGAGACACACACACAGTGAGACACAGAGACACACACAGTGACACACACACACAGTGAGACACACACAGTGAGACACAGAGACACACAGTGAGACACACACACAGTGACACACACAGTGACACACACACACAATGAGACACACAGTGACACACAGTGACACACACACAGTGACACACACACAGTGACACACAGTGACACACACACAGTGACACACACAGTGACACACACACACAGTGAGACTCCTCATCACGACTCTCAGACAGCTGTCTCACACAGACACACACACTGAGACACAGAGAAACACAGTGAGACACAGAGACACAGTGAGACACAGAGAGACACAGTGAGACACAGAGACACACAGTGAGACACAGTGACACACACACACAGTGACACACACACACAGTGACACACACACACAGTGACACACACACACAGTGACACACACAGTGATACACACACACAGTGACACACACACACAGTGACACACACACAGTGACACACACACACAGTGACACACACACAGTGACACACACACAGTGACACACACACAGTGACACACACAGTGACACACACACAGTGATACACACACAGTGATACACACACAGTGACACACACACACAGTGACACACACACACAGTGACACACACACAGTGACACACACACAGTGACACACACACACAGTGACACACACACAGTGACACACACACAGTGACACACACACAGTGACACACACAGTGACACACACACAGTGATACACACACAGTGATACACACACAGTGACACACACACACAGTGACACACACACACAGTGACACACACACAGTGACACACACACAGTGACACACACACACAGTGACACACACAGTGACACACACACAGTGATACACACACAGTGATACACACACAGTGACACACACACACAGTGATACACACACAGTGATACACACACAGTGATACACACACAGTGATACACACACACAGTGATACACACACACAGTGATACACACACACAGTGACACACACACAGTGACACACACAGTGATACACACACACAGTGACACACACACAGTGATACACACACACAGTGACACACACACAGTGACACACACAGTGATACACACACAGTGACACACACACACAGTGACACACACACAGTGATACACACACACAGTGACACACACACAGTGACACACACAGTGATACACACACAGTGACACACACACACAGTGACACACACACAGTGATACACACACACAGTGACACACACACAGTGACACACACAGTGACACACACACAGTGACACACACACAGTGACACACACACACAGTGATACACACACAGTGATACACACACACAGTGACACACACACAGTGATACACACACAGTGACACACACACAGTGACACACACAGTGACACACACACACAGTGAGACTCCTCATCACGACTCTCAGACAGCTGTCTCACACAGACACACACTGAGACACACACACAGTGACACACACACACATCACCACCATCACCACTCTCAACACCACCACCACCCACCCACCACCACCACCACCCACCCACCACCATCACCACCACCACCATCACCACCACCACCCACCCACCCACCACCACCACCACCATCATCACCACCATCACCACCACCATCACCACCACCATCACCACCACCACGACCACCATCACCACCACCACCATCACCACTACCACCATCACCACCACTACCACCATCACCACCATCACCATCACCACCATCACCACCCACCCACCCACCACCACCATCACCACCACCCACCCACCCACCCACCATCCACCCACCCACCACCCACCCACCACCATCACCACCCACCCACCACCACCATCACCACCACCACCACCCACCCACCACCACCATCATCTCACCCACCACCCACCCACCATCACCACCACCACCATCACCACCACCACCACCACCATCACCACCACCACCATCACCACCACCATCACCACCATCACCATCACCACCACCACCATCACCACCACCATCACCACCACCATCACCACCACCACCACCACTCTCACCCACCACCACCACCCACCACCCACCACCACCACCATCACCACCACCACCCACCCACCATGGCTCACGACGTGATCCAACCCTCCGAGGCATCGAAGCCTCTCTCTGTAGACGTCGCTTGCGTGAGCCGCCATTG